CTATCGAGGCTTGTTGCCGTATTGGCCATCCGTGATGACGAGGTCGACTTCTTGATGAGCATCCATAAACGAAAGGTCTTGCGATCGTCAGCCCGGGAAGTCGTTGCTCTTAGCTGGTGTGTATGTTGCCAGCTTCGAGGCGTGAAAGATTGGATGGACCAGCAGATGCGAAGGGATGTCGATCACAAAGGATGGGCCGTCGGGCTCGTCGACTGTAGCTGAAAGGACGGTCCATGGTCCAAACCACTTGGGGAGTAGCTTGCGTGAAACATCATGTTGGAGTGCAAACTCATCCGCGGAGACCCAAACCAGATCGCCGGCGCAAGTGGGACATGGCACGAGATGCCTGTTGGCTTGCTGCTGCATGCGGACTTTAGCCTTTTGCATGTTCGCACGGTCTTGAGCCAGCAATTCCCTATACTTCGAGGCGGAGGCGGGAAAGCAAGCGGCCACAAATTGGTCGATGAAATACATCCATTGTGCTGCTCAATGTATCTTGCATCTTGTAGTAGGTCAACGTGTTGTTATCAGTGACCCATGTGAACCTATGACGCCCAAGGAGGAAGTGTCGCCATCACTTGAGAGCCATCACGAACGCTTCTTCCTTGCATCATCAACTGAAGTGATGGGAGGCACCTTGTGGCTGAAATAGTCCACGGGGTGCCAGTCGTCGCCGTCGTGTTGTTCCAAGACTTCCCCAATGCCATAGCCAGAAGCGTCAGTCGTCACTCACTGGCAAGGTGGGGTCGTAGATGCTAAGGGCGGGTAACCATGAGCATGGCCGTCTTAAGTGCCTGGAATGACTGGCGCGCTTCGTCGCTCAATACGAATGGCACCTTTGGCGATTGTAGTCTCGTCAATGGTGCGGCGATCCTCGAGTACCCGGTGATGAAGCGTTGGTAGTAGCCCGCCAACCCCATGAATGAGCGAACTTTCATGGTGTTGGTGGGCTCGGGCCACACTCGGATGGTCTCGATCTTGACCGCGAGCGGTTGGACCACAAACTGGCCCAAGTACTCGAGCTCTTGCCGAGCGAATTCGCATTTGTCGCGGTTGGCTTTGTACTTGGCTTGTCGTAGCCGTTCCAAAACGGTGTGCAAGTGCTCCACATGCTCGTCCAAACTCTGGCTATACACCAAGTGGATGAAAACCCAGCCTGTGCTCTCCGACGCTCTGAAGCGTTGGATTGAAGTCATAGAGCAGTATACCTTTGCGCACCAACACATCAAGGGCGAGTACAACAACGTTGTTGACGCGCTGTCGCGTAGACCAGATTCCTTCAGTGCTGATCATTGAGTTTGGGCTTGCGGACGATGTTACTCACTCTATGGTGGAAGCCTACCGCGTGGATCACTTCATGTCTGAGATCATTCGCAGGTTCAAGGTGAAGGACAAAATCACTTCTCCCGAGTTTGAGTTGGTCAACGGTCTGTTGTTCCTTGGGAAGGCCGGGAATAAACGTTTGTGTGTTCCCAATAGGGAGTCTTTGCGTAGTTTATTTTCAGGCAAATGTCATGATGCCACCAGACATTTTAGCTTCAAGAAGACTGCAACCAATCTGCTGCAACGGTTCTGGTGCCCCACGATGATGAGAGATGCCAAACTGGGACAGGAGCACGGGATATCCTGTAAGCTCATGCCATAGTACTTTGGACCATGGGAGGTTCTAGATGTCGTTGGGGATGAACCAGATGGTCCTCCTTATGTTGTTCGCATCCCTGGTCACCTACGCACATATCCAATATTTCACGCCTCAAAACTTGCACCGTTCGGAGAAACTGATCAGTTTCCCTCTCGCCGCTCAATGCTGCCCCCAACCGTGCATGGAGAGGTCGACATCGACAACATCGTTGATCACAGGGAGATGTCAATTCCAAGACCAACAGGCCGGGGGCATCCTCCAAAACCGAAGCTGCAGTACCGAGTTTGGTTCAACCATCACTGATCCAAGGGAGGATTCACAAGGGAGGAACTGATGCCGCTCCACACGTTGTCGCGCACTATGAGAAGTCTCTGCAAAAAGGAAAGCGTCAAATTATCGAAGATTGAACTTCTCAGAGGACTAGCGAAGTATGGAGGAGGGAATGCGAGGCATAGGCCTCGATAAGCCCTACAAAGCCCCTATTTGCAACAGGTCGGCCAGCCTAAGTGAAGGCAGGTCCGACACACGACAAGAGGCCTATTTTTGAATACTTCGCAACTGGGGAAAATTCAGGCAGTTGCGCACCGCCAGTTGGTTGAAGGCGCCCATGCCCTGGCCTCCTTACCGACTTTATCTAAGTCAGGCCCCAGGCGACATACGCAGCGTAGGCCCAACTCAGACAACGGGCAGTTGGGCACGGGTAATTGTCGATGGCCCTAGGCCTGATTCGTTTGGTCTGAGGCTCAGCCTCCCTGGGCCTACCGAAAGCTTCTGGACAGGGACCAAGCGCAGCCAGCCTGCACGCAAGTAGGCTGGCCACTTCCATTTAGGAAAGGGCCAGCCTACGCATTGGACATTCAGGCACTGGCTGCTTTGTGCGCAAGCGCCGCTGCGCTATCGCCTGCGAGGCTCACTCGCTCACGGGCGAGCTGGAAGGAGCAGGCAGCCATTGCCAAGTTGCGCTGCTGTACGCTGGATGGGGCGCATGGTGGTCCTTGGGTGCAAGTGGCACCTGTGAGTTGGGGAACGAGGTTGAGTGATACGAGAGACACACCTGGTGCTTGACGCATGCGACATTGGCCGAGGTCTGCTCGTACTTGGGAAGTTGTTGAAGTCATCATCGGCATTGTAGTCTGGGCGAGATAGGATCTGCCATTCGTAGTTTGGGCGTCGAGCGCCAGATAGGTTGGTTCTTCGATTGATGATGATGAGAGTATTCCAACATTATCAATTATCAGCTTTTGGTGTGCTCTTATTTGGTGAAACTCGTGATGCAATTCTGCTTTTGGTTCGAGGTCACGACTATCTCGTCTCATGTGTATGATGTTGTTTGATTGCTGAAGTTCCCTATTGCTCATCGTCCTTGCAGTTTTCTATACCCGGAAGTAGTGAGCTGAAAGCAAGGGTTCCATAGACGAGTCCTCATAGGGTTCCATAGACGAGTCCTCATCATGACCATATTGGACCTCTGAAAGGGCTCAGATACACTAAAGATAGCATGGAGTTGTGAACAGCAAACGTGCCAACACACACAGGTTTTGTGGTCGGGCGGCCCTGAACAAAATTTGCGCGGGCAATGTCCTAATTTTGGCTGGGTGTGGGAACTTCGATTCAACCCCTCCCCAACTTTTTCCTTTTTTGGCTGACCCCAAAATTTGCCCATGTGGCGCACCGGGTGCACACGCCACATGCGCATTGCGCAGTGTGCCGCATGTGCGCGAGCAGCACGCACGGGATGCGCCGCAAGTATGGTCCTTATGCAAGGAAAATGAGCAATAACGAAATAACAGAATTCCAAAATGCAAAATCACATTGAAAGCCAAAAAGTCAAACGCTGTCCAAAAAACAGATATGCACTGATATTCCACCAGTGGAGAACCAAAGCACCGAATCCGAATGTCAGTGAGAGCATACTCTCGCCACCACCAATCAGCGCACAGACTAGAATCAGACTACTACCCAGCCTACGAATTGACATGCAACCTGTTCACGTCAGCAGCAAAAGCCTAAGTACATGAAGACGTCCACCCTGTAGACCACCGCCAAAACCAGGTATGTGTTCTCACATCATCATCCTCATCTCTCTCTCTCCCTCACCTTCTTCACCCAGGTTTTCTTCCTATACACGAAGACCATACCACCCCTCCAGCTACACATCCAAGCCAAGGCCTGGCTATGTAGGGCTGGCTATGGGGCTTCCCTCAGCAGCGCCCTCCTTGCACACCCACATACGCACGCACACTTGCCCCTAGCGCTAAGCAGGCAGCCCATGCACTCGCGCTCCAGCAGCGCTGCCGCTCGCTTACGCAAGTGTCGAATGCCTCCGAAGGCTGGTGAGCACTTTCCTATGTTTGGCTGGCTGGACTGAGTTTTCAGTAGCTTCCCATTAGGCCAAATTGTCTACGCCTAAACCCGTTCAAAAAGTGGCCTGGGATCGAATTGGTTAGGCGTGCCCAACCGCGCAGGTGCAAGCGTACAGTGTACCCTACTTCGACCACGTTGCTGGGAGAGCCTGGAAGGCTCACAAATATTTATCCGGTCGGGGGAAGGGGCATCCATTGGAAGTCCACGAACGCCAACGGGTCGAGTCTCTCAAATCTTGACCATGACGTCGAATCCGCGGTGAAAGTTGGCGGTGAAGCGGCCGAATCGGTTGCCGATGGTGGTGAAACCGTGCATGTGGTGGATTGTTGCATGTGGAGTGGCTGGTCCAACGGTGAGACCAAGTGGATAGGGTAATCCACGTAAGTGAACCGAGGACTCGCGACATTCACATGCTCCCCAGATGTGTAGGAGGCCGCTAGCAAGGCGACCAAATTTAGCGGATTGAGAAGTGGAGTCGCCTTACCTCCCACGCAACTCTGTTTCCCGAGCTGATTCGAGGTCGAACATCCCCCTTGCCTTGATCTTGGTATTGGGAGGTCTTGTGCTTGGTGCTGTTGCATCAATAACAGCAACCGTATCGGCTGCGGTACTTGTATTCGGCCTCGGTCAAGTTGAACTTGACCCATGGTACTGGCTGTCCATTTCCGATCGACAATGTAGTTTTTGCCTTCCCTTTTCCATGGGAGTTATTAGCTTCGTGGCTGGACAGCGGCCACCTGATCATCCTCATGTGATGCTGGTGTGGCTGTCGGGTCTTCCACAATGTTGTCCGGTTGGACTGCAGCGACTTGCTGCGAACGAGGACCAAATATTCCTTTCTCCACATGGGCTGGCTGCCACGCTGACTTCTCGTGTGCAGCAGCCCGGTTGGTCTTGATGATCTCAGGAGCCTTATCTCACGTCGACGAAGGTCGTGTATTGTTCTCGATCACCGAGTGCGAGGCACAAGGCGGCACACGACCGGTTGTAGAACTCCCGGAGCAAATGCAAAAATGGCAGCTCAAGATCGGGTGTTGCCACGATCTTCTGCCATTCGATGAGCCAATCGCGGGTCGGTGTTTGCCTTGAGTCATGGCGAAGAGGCGGTTGATGGCGAGCGTCGGGGCGTCGTCCACAATGAATCGCTTCATATCGTCCCAAGAGATCTTCTTATGCAGGTCGGAGACCTGGACGTCGTGGATGGTTGCCATGTGGCTGAGCCAGATCTGGCATCGCCCTTGGCGTTGAGGAACACCGCCGAGATGTACAAGTGATTGCCATGTGGCTAAGCCAGATCTGGCATCGCCCTTGGCGTTGAGAAACACCACCGAGATGTACAAGTGATTCGGGACCTCATGAATCCCAATCTCCGTTGTAAAGCCTTGCCACCAGACGACTGGGTCCTGATGCGTATAGTCATCAAACTTCTCGATCTGGAACGTCGACATTTTGTATGCCCGCAATGCACTGGTGCTGCCATCGTTGTCGAGCGGCTGGTAAGGTTGCCGAACCTCGGTCTTCAAGGTGTCGAGTTGCTCGCTCATGGTGGCTGGTGCGGCGAAGGTGCTTATGTCGCCGAGCATTGCAACTACATGATAAACTCGTTGCTCCAATTGGCAGGTTGAAGCTGCACTGCTGGGTTCGGCAACATTTGGTCCTGGTGCTGCTTGCTCCAAGTCCTGTACACAAGAATGGTGTACCCGCATAGCATCCTCGTGCAGATCCTTCTGGTTCCGCACTGCCCGTCGGAGTCACCAGCTGGGACTGCAACCGGGTCACGAGTTTGGAGAGAAACTCCTGCTGCTCTTCCGGTGTCGTGTTGTCATGGTCCTCGGATGGTTCAAAATGCCATAACTTGAGCCTGTCGACACTGGCGGCTTCGTGCCGCTGCAGTTGATCCTAGGCCTCTCCTTGCGGCGGACCTGGGCAACTGCGTCAGCTGCGGCCTGAAGCCGCTGCTTTTCAACTGCTGCCTCCGCTTAAGCCTGCAGGCGGGCAGCCTCGGCTGCCGCCTGGCACTGTTCCTCAGCCTCGATCAGTGCGAGCTGAGCTTGGAACCACTATCGGTACTCGGCAATGGACTCGTTGGCCAGTTGGCCTGGCATGCCCAAAACTGAAACCCTCATGGTGGCAAGGCACTGCTGACATGGCACTGCTGACATGGCACTGTTGCTGACATGGCACTGCTGATGCAGCACTGCTACTGACATGGCACTGCTGTCATGGCACTGCTGACATGGCACTGCTGATGTGGCATTGCTGCTGACATGGCACTTACCAAACCGGGAATGCAAAGAAGGGGCTGGGTGGGAGGGAAACGCAGGAAGGTAACAAAACTGCACTTTCCATTCCGATCCTAATCAACAGAATAAAATAAAAGAAAAAAATAAAGAAGCGGATCAACCCCCCCTTTTTTTTTTTTCTTTTTTTTTTTGAATATCTATCGATCTGCTATCAGTGAGGCATTACAGAGGAGTGCTATGAATGAGATCGACGCAAATTTTCACAAAGTTTCGGCTTTCAAAAAGAAATGCGATCTTGAAAAAAAAAATTGTGCGAAATAGAATGGAGGTTCCACTTTCACAGAAGAATAGAACCAGCCTGAGAATATGACGACCTCCCTAGTTCCCTAATATGCCCATGGTCAAATAAAAAAAAAACGAAATGCTAATCTCCAAGTTTTTTTTTTTGCAGAGATTTGACGAAGCCCTACTTGATTCACTAATAAACAATCAATCAATCAATCAATCATTCAACAATCAATCAATCCAGCAAGCTGGCTCCTTGATTGCGCGGATCCTCTGATTGAGAGGTCCACTCCGATACCAAACTGTTGCATACCGTACTTTACAGACCAGAACAAGAACCGACCTCTCTCACATAGTACAGGATAGCGCAGCGAAAGGCTAAAATACCAATGATCAGACCAATCAATGTCGCACTGCAGACCGAACATACATTATCATCATCAGATGGTGTGAAGGGGCCTGGCGCTCACACAGGAAGAATGCGCCACTCCCCAACCATACACAAACGAAGAGGGGGATCAGACGAAGAAGAGGGGGAAGATGGGAATGTCGTCAACACCAAGTCTTCTGTACAGGTCCCAATAATCCCTTGCCCAATGTCGACTCTCTCTCTCTCTCTCTCTCTCTCTCTCTCTCTCTCTCTCTCTCTCTCTCTCATAGTCCGTAGGTGCTGAGAAGTCAGGTAATGAAAGGGTGAAGAAGAACTCTCTCTCTCTCTCTCTCTCTCTCTCTCTCTCTCTCTCTCTCTCTCTCTCTCTTGTACCAAGTACGAACTTGTGAAGGTGGCGCCTTATTGCAGGTACATCGAAGACGAAGCGGGAGCTATGGCGCCACAGGTAAGTCCCCCTGGCTTCCGCCAACTCTCCCTCACCGCTACTCTAAGCTCCTACAGCGCCCAGCGCTGAAGACTACACCTAGTGCTGCAGCGCTCCTCCAGAGTGCTGCGGCCGAATCCTGAAGACTGCCTCCTGAACGGCCCGTGAAGTGCTGCCTATGCACTCCCCGTGAACTGCCTTCCCATGCCGAATTGTGCCAGACGCGTTGAAGTTCAAACAAAGGTTGTCTTGAAACATGCCCAAGAATGCCCTGTGCTAAACCCTGGTCTGGCGCCTGAGTTTCAGGGCAGGTCGACTTTATGAGGGCCTGAAAATGGCCCTCCTTTTCAGGCCTTTAGGCTGAAACGACACAGGGCCTGGACGGCCCTTATTTTCCGTCTGGTCAGGCCCTGCAGGCCCGTGTGGATGCGCAGTATGCCCCAGTGTGTGTGTGTGTGTTTGTGTGTGTGTTTGTGTGTGTGTGTGTGCAAGTGTGTGTGTGTGTGTGTGTGTGTGAGAGAGAGAGAGAGAGAGAGAGAGTTTTCCATCGATAGGATGAGCAATGCACCGGCCAGCAGATAAGTCTCCAACCCCACAGCTGGCCTCACGCTACATCCATCAATAGGATGAGCAAAATCGAATGAATCTTTTTTTTTTTGTGTGTGTGTGTTTGTGTGTGTGTGTGTGTGTGTGTGTGTGTGTGTGCGTGTGAGAGAGAGAGAGACAGAGAGAGACAGAGAGAGAGAGAGAGAGAGATTTCCATCGATAGGATGAGCAGCACACCGGCCAACAGGTAATTCTCTAACCCCAAGGCTGGCCTCACGCTACTTCCATCGATAGGATGAGCAAAATCGAATGAATCTACCGCTAGAACATGGAAATATACACTGCCACAGTTGTTTGTGTGTGTGTGCACGTGTGTGTGTTGTCATATTCTCTATACACTCCAAA